ATAGAGCTGGCAGCCCCAGATCCTGGATCTGAAATGGGCTGGGCCAGTGTCTTCCAGATGCAGTTGCAGTCTGGGATGGCCATTGGGTTAGGGTCTGGAATGGCCCCCTGCCTGACAAATGGAAGTACTACCACTCTTGGCAGAGATGGAAGCCATGGAGGACGGCACACTGGGACTGGGGTTGGTCCCACATTTATTGGGTGGCCTCAGATAAGTTCCTTCCTTTCTACTGGGCCTTGGAGTCTTCATATATAAATGTAGTGGCCGAGCTAGGATACTCTGAAGACCTCTGAGAGGCCCTGGCCAAGGTTCCAGGCTGTTTTACCTCTCCAGGTAGGTTGACATCTTTCTCCTGCTTCCCTCCCGGGCTGGTTTCCCCTACCCCACACCCAGAGTCTCCCTGGCACAGCAGGGTCTTGTGTGGCTTGGTTCCAGGAGGACGTCTCTGGGAACTGCCGGATGTCCAATTCTGTGCAGAAGCACATGATAACCAAGACTACAGATCCTCACAGCCTCGAAGGACTGAAGACTGGCAAAAATGACACTAGTCCACCAAGGGACCACTCAGAATGGTCCTCTGCTCTCTTGAGTTCAGTTCCCATGGAGTCATCCAGCCTGGTTTGGGGGGCTCCAATTGCTTCCCATTTGCTCAATTCTCCCATCTCCCTGCTACCCCTGCTGCTTCAGCCTTCAGACATGATAAGTCTCCAAAAGTCTGAGAACCTCACAGGACTAAGGATCTATCACTGAAGCTGATTCCCTCAAAACAGGACACAAAGATGGCCCAAGTGGCCGTGACAGGGGCTCTGGGAGTGAGGGCATTAACCAGAGCAGCAGACAGGGCAGCAGGTTGAACCCAACCTCTCTAACCACAGAAGGCAAGTTCTCAGTCTTCTGGGTCCTCCCTGGGAGAACATTCAACGATCCAACTTTCCCCACCCCTCCCAGTCCTAGATGACCTCCTGTTTGGAGTCCAGGAACAAGATGTGCTCTGGGGTCCCTTCCAAGTCTGTGGTTCCAAGAGCCCATCTTTCCAGAATTCTGAGACCCTAAGCAACACTTTCCTGAGATTCTACACATGCACGATTTTTATGTTTTCTACAGCGAAAGATGCTATATGGGCAACTGATTCTAAAATCTTGTTTCAATTATTCTCGTATCCCATTGTCAAGTATTTCTAGGCTTCTATGATTCCAAAATTTCAAGATTTCATTATTCTAAGATTCTCCAACGTAAGAAGGAATGCCAAAGCTCTATCTTCTTGCCTTTGTGAGTTACTCTTTTAGCAGGAGGGAGAGAGAACAGGTCATCCCATCCTCACAACACCCTAGGGCTGGGGCAGGCCTTGCAAGGCATCTTATCCACACCCACCCCCCAGGGACTCCCACTCTCTGCATCCTTCCCCCATCTCACTGAGGAAGCCCCAGGGTGGACTCTGGTGCTTGCCTCTCCCAAAGTGTTTGGTATGCACCGGCAGCCTGGAAGCCTCAGTCACTATCCTTTGGGGGACCTAGCCCACAAGGGCTGGCCGAGGAGGGCCACAGCCTCTCACTTCCCCTTCACTTACCTGTAGGGGCCAGAATCACCTCCAGGGGTGCTGGCCACTGCAGTATCACCCAAAGCTTTCTGGCCTAGAACAGGATGGCAGAGCCAGGGCTCTGAGTAGACTTTGAGGATTCACTCACTAGCTGGGCATTTGGGCTTCCCCAATGGTGGGGTCAGAGTGGTGGTGGGAGAAGCAGGTTTCTGCAGGCTGTGACCCACCTCCCTGGAAAGATCATCATCCTCTGGTTTGCTCTGTTGATGGGTGGGGGTGGGAGAGCTGGGGGTGACCCCTGGGGCTAGGGACCGTGAGGTGTCCAGTGGGTACTCTTCTGTCTACCCTTCTCCCTCCAGAGCTGGCCTCCTCTCTGTCCAGCTCCCAGGTACCTCTAGCTGTAACCTATAGAAGGCCCTGGCAGCAGCTAAGCTGGCTAACCATCACTAATCAGGCACAAGAGGCTCCGCTGCTTTGGGGTGTGTCTCTTTGGCACCTGCCACTCCAGGTTCTTGTTCACTCTAAGTTTCAGGCCTACCCTGGACAAAAGGAGCCTCCTTGCTCTGCACATAAATGCACTGTGTGATCCTGGGAAGGTACCTTCCTCCCTGGGTCTCAGTCTCCATATCTGTAAAGCAAGGGTCCAACAAATTTTAAGGCTCCTTCCAAGCCCACAAATGCTACGTTTCCATGGGGGGAAAGTAGGGGTACATTCACAGGTGGGCTTTACATTGACCATCTCAATTCAAACATATATTACCAAAGTTGCTAAATTGGAATTGGTTTCTTTACTGAAACTCAGAAGTCAGTTTGGGTTTCCTGCTTTTTTATTTTTTATGTTTTGAGTCGTAGTCTCACTCTGTTGCCGAGACTGGAGTGCAGTGGCACACTCACGGCCACCGCAGTCTCAACCTGCTGGGCTCCGGCAATCCTTCCCCTTTAGCCTTCCAACTAGCTGGAACTATAGGTGTGTGCTACCATCCCGGCAGCCTGCTAGAATCACTGTGTGGAGTTTAGAGTCCTCCCGGGATTTCTGTGACTCGCTGGGGTGGTGGGGGACAGGGTTTGTGGGCTCAGGACTCCACACCCTACTTCCTGCTGTCCTGTCCTGTGCTCTGCTCCTCCTTCCTTCTGGCCTGCATCTTCACCCACGCATCCTTTCCTTCTCAATCTCCACTGAAACGAAAACCCTGGCTCCCGCAAAGAATAGCCCTTAATTTGGGGGGTGGACATTCCCAAAGGTCGATAAATTTGATCGACCCTTAGGCATATTAGATACACTACATGCTAAAACGCCCCCAGCTATTTCCACCAGCATGGCTGCCCTCTCCATCTGTCTTTGTGACTCCACCCCCACCTGGGGGGGTGTGGGGGGGGAGTCTCCAAATCACTTTCTCCTCATTAGGTCAGCTCTCCATCACAAGGGGCCCTTTCTCCAGTTTCCCCTTCCTCAGTGCCCCAGCCCTGCAGATTTCTTTACTCAGTAACACACATTCTGCCACTGCTTAGAAGGCAATGTGGTCGTGGTCACCCTGTTCCCAATGCCAATCTTTTCATTCTGTGGAGGGTCCTTTAGAGAGTTTCCCTACTTGCATGTAGGCAGGGTGAGAATTTCACAAATTCAAATCACCAAAGATTTTTTTTTCTTTCACTCCTAAAACTTCATCCTGGTATAAAGTGTTGTCCTACAACGTAGGCCTCAAGGAAGTGAGAGATCCAGTGACCAACAATCTGGTGGAAACCTTGTGTCTTACCTGGCAGTGCTTGGTGTGGGTAGGAAGGTGGAGGGATAAATGGAGGGGCCACTCTTCCCTGAGAGTGTACTGTGCCCCACTCCTAATACTCTTACCACAGTCCAGCCCAGACCCTTAGAGCTCTGGCTCCCTTGCCCCCTTCCTCAAAACAGAGAGAGAACGAGAGAGAGAGAGAAAGAAAAACACACACAGCACAATCTTTTGGGGGTCCAAAACAAAGCACCAAGGGTAATGTTAATAAATACATAAAAATTTAAACATCTGGATTTATAAGGCACACAGGCCAGGCTGGTTCTCACAGGAATGACTCAGTGTTTGCCCCAGCATCTTAGGGGGAGGGAAGGGAGCACCTGGGGACCCGGGACCCTGCCCCCACCTCTGTTCTCCAAGGGCATTCAGGTAAGGGGGCATTGTCCCTATTTCTTCAGCCTGGCTCAGAACAGCTCCTGCCCTGGGAAAGGAAGAAGTAAGAAGCACCTCTATCATGTAGCAGGGAGTCTGGGAGATCCTTCCCACAACCCTGGGGGTGAAGACCCCTGTAGGTATCCTGGGAACCAGGCCACTTCCTGAGAGCCAGAGGGTCTAGGGCTGTTACCTGTCCCTTGTAGGCAACATGGAGGGCAGTTGAGTCCAGCAAAGGACCTACAGCACCATGGGTATGTCCTCCCCACCCCAGGGCTGGGGCATTTGGCCCAGGAGGCCCTTGTCCTCCCCAGGGCTTGGCCATGAGTGGACTCTGGTCCTCAGCCTGGGGCCCAACTGCTCCTCAGAAAACCACACACCTCTGGCCCAGCTTGAGCCAGGTGAGCAAAGACCCCTGACTCCAGTAGGAGTGGTCTTTGGCGGGGGCAACGATTGAGAGGCGCAGTCTGAGAAGTCACATCTCCTCTGTGTCCTGCAGTCATCTTCAGGCTGGGCTCCCTTCAAGCCCTGGAGTGATGATTAAAGTTGCCATCCTGGCCCAGCCAGGGGTCAAGCACCAGTTTGGATGATGAGGACTTAGGGTCCAGAGTGTCTCATGCCCCCTTCTCTGGTGGGTTGGGAGTGGGATTAGAAGGCCGGTTTGTAATTGGGAGTTATCAGAAGTAAGAGAAGTGACATCACAGCAGCAGAAAATGGCTACAGCGTTACCCTCCAGCCAGCAAAGACAAGCCGGCCTCTGCTCCCGGCCGCCCTGGCCTCAGCTTGGCAGGGCTGTTGGGAGCTCTCAGGTTCCAAGAGCTGGGCCTGAGACAAGCTGGCATCCTCTGCCCCAGCCCTGCAGTGGGGAAGCCTCATGCCACACTCACCCAGCCCCCCTTCCTCTTGGTCTGTCTGTGAGTCGCCTCCCACCTCCCCAGTCCTGCTTTTCCTTTCTAGACAGAGGGATCAGACAGGCAGGACCTCCATAGGGGTCCCCACAATTCTGTGGAAGGCAGGCCGCCCTGACAACTCCTAGCTGGGCTTCAGACCACCCTGGGGCCAGTGACTGTGAGGAGGCAACAGAGGCTGGCCTGGGTCCCAGCAGGAGAGACCAGCAGGAGCCCCTGAAAGGTTCAGTCAGGCCGCCTGGGGCTGCTTGCTGAGGTATCTCTGGTTAGGGCTTCCCTGATCTGTCTTCCTCCCATCACAGCCCCAACAAGAACAAGAAGGGGAATAATTTAAAAGGAAGTCTGTGCTGCTGTGCTTGCCCATGCCCCACACTGTGTGTCCTTTGAGCTGGCGGTCATGGGGCAGTATATGGAGTGTAAACGTGACTATGGGATGGCAGGTACGGCTCATGTCATGCGGGAGGTGGCGGGAAGGCTGGTGCCCGGATGCTTCGAGTCTTCCCTGGGCTGTCCTGTATCCTCTGAAGCCGGCATAAGTGCCTGAGTCCAGCCCCAAGGCAGCCTCCCAGGGGTGGTAGCAGAAGTTCCCCAGAGTGCTCTAGGGCTCAGTGTCTGGGGGGTAAGGAGATGCTGGGTCACTGGAGAGCTTGTGTCCAGAGGTCCCGGGAGCTGTGTGGGCCGGCCATGCTGATGCTCCTCTGAACCCGTTGGCTCCCCGGTAGGCTCCACAGCACCTGGAGAGGCTTTGGGTCCTGGGAAAGGGCTCCCGGGAGTGGAGAAGGGGGCTGGTGAGGTCAGTCCAGGGTCAGGGCTAGTGTCGTCGGGGCCCGAGGCCTTCTTAGTACAGGACTCACAGCACAATCGGTGATAGCCGGGGATGGAGCAGTAGCGATCGAGCACCTCCAACTGGCAGAAGACGGACCTGTCCCCCATGCAGGGCTCTACTGCAAACACAGCACAAGGACAGACGTCAGGGGAGGAGATGCCCATCAGCCGGGTGACATAGGCCCCACCTCCCACTCACCCACCAACTGCCCTCCCTCCATTCCCTCCTGGAAGTGAAATCCTCTAGAGCAGATCTCAAAGCGATGGCCCACACACCCAGCAGCAGCATTGCCTGGAAGCTTGCTGGAAATGAAAAGTCTCGGGCCCCAAAATGCATCAGACCCCCCTAGCACATCAGAAACTCTGGGGGTGGGATGCCCAGCACTGTGTTTTGTTTTGTTTTCTGAGACAGGGTCTTGCCCTGCCATCCAGGCTAGAATGCAGGGGCACAACTATAGCTCAATCACTGCAGTCTAGAACTCCTGGGTTTAAGCTATCCTCAAACCTTAGTCTCCCAAATAAGTAGGGACTACAGGCACATGCCACTACACTAAGCTAATTTTTTTTAGTTTGTGTAGAGATGAAGTTTCACTCTACCGCCCAGGCTGGTCTCGAACTCCTGGGCTCAAGTTATCCTGTCTCAGCCCCAGCACTGTGGTTTCACTACCCCTCTAGGGAATTTCAATTGTGGGAAAATATGAGAACCATGTCCTCAGACTTGGCTACACACTGGAATCCCTCAGAGGGCTTTACAAACAGCCAATACCTATCTCCTTTGCCCTGACTGACTGGAAAGTCTGGATGTGGCCTGGCATGGGGTAAGTCAAACCTGCAGCAGCTCCAGGTGAAAGTGACAACCCTCACCTCCTCCCAGGCAATCCAAAGGAGTCTGATCCTCCCCAGCCAGGGCCTCACGAAAAGCCCAGGCAACTCACACTCACAACAAGCAGAGTAAACATCCTGCCACCAGACAGCACACAGCTGGAACAAGTTCTCCACCACTAAATTTGGAATCAAGCAGATTTAGGTTCAAATCTAGGCTCTGCCACTCAAGAGCTGTGAGGTTTGGGGAAGTCATTTAAACTATCCAAGTCTCAGTCTCTTCACCTATAAATAACGGGGATGATGCCAACATTCACCAATGAATAACAACAATATAATTATAAATAACATTTGTAAAGTACCTGGTGTAGAGGGGTGCTCACTACACCAGTTTACTTTGCTTAAAATACCATGCTTTAATAAAAAATGTTTTTGTGACAACTCCATATAGGTCTCTCCCGATAAAACATGAAGGCAGGAGCTTTGCTTTCTAATTTTTGCGAGAGAGGGGAGGAGGTGAGGGAGAGAGGCTGGCTTAGGTGAAAAGAACGATCTGAGAGAATGAAAAGCCAGTGGCCTCTAGGTGGCGCCAGAATTCTAGGATCAGAATCAGGGCCCCAGGCTTTGCTTTTGGAAAGAAAAGGGGAAGGATACCCAGGAACTCGTCCAGCCTGAGCCTCAGCATAGGAGCAGAGAAGTGGCAAGGTTGAGGCTAGACGGTCCTCTGAGGAATCAAGTCAGAAGCCTAATTTTACAGGTGAACCCAGAGAGGTTAAGGGATTTGCACAAGAGTCCACAGCCAATGAGGTCCCTAACAACAAGGGTCTGTGATCTTTCTGCTCCTGAACTTGCTGACCCTGGTCCTTGCGAGGGTAAAGAAGGGAAAGGGAGATGGAGCCTAGGAAGGGAGTGTAGAATTCAGAGCCTGGCACATAGCAGGTGCTCAGTAAATATTTACGTGTGGATGGATAAATGGAAAGACAGGAGGATGAACTGATGGGTTCCTGGTCATAGGGCTGAGAGAAACTACTACTCCTACTGCTGTTAGCTCACAGCTGGGCAGGAAGGCATATGTCCTGTCATTTAATTCTCTCAAAAGCCCTCTAAAGACAGCTCAGGTCCACAACCACTTATCTGAAAATCCTGGAACCAGACAGGATTCAGAATTCAGAACTTTGAGTGTCAGAAAAGTAACTCTGTGTGTCCATATTACAGAACACCCTCAGTGGAGACTGGGATATCACCTCGTAACCAAATATGGCAATGTTTCTGTAGCAAAAGAATAAAGGATCTTTTGTTAGTTCAGGCCACATTTTGCTACCAAGTGAGTTTGCACCAAGCTTGGAAATAAGCATTTGGAACCGTAGGTGAGGGGTCATGGACCAGGACAGCATCTTCCTACTTCACAGTTGAGGAACCTGAGGCCTGGGAAGGCTAAGGTCACACAGGCAGACTGGAAGCCAGGTCTGCTCTACTGCATGGTCCATGCTATGCCACTAAAAGGTTTGGAGGGGGGGTGGAGTTGCACTTACTTGATGATATCTTGTTCATGGGATACAGGGGTCCAGATTGTGGTACCCACTGCCCCATGGGAGTCACAACTTCCTGGACATCAGCCTTCACAGTGGAGTTCTGGAGCTTTCCTGTGAACAGGGAGAATCAGCTCAAGTATTCGGGGTTGCTAGGCCAGGGAAGCAGGGCCTGGCCTTCCCACCCCACCTGGCTCACCTCCACAGGCGGGCAGGCTGCAGATCTGGACAGTGTCTGGCTTATCCCCCTCGCACTGCCCAAGACTGTTGGCATTGGTCCGGCACACCACCTGCCGCTGCTGGATGCCCTCTCCGCAGGTAGCAGAGCACTGCCATGAAAGGGTCAGGACCAGGCCGCAGTGGCCAGGGTCAGGGTAGGTGGAGAGACAGAGGATGGGCCATTGAGCTCAGGGTGTTCCAATGCCCAAGGACAGAAAGGGTACAATGGAGAGTACCAGGTCTTAGCCTGACCAGAGGGACAGGTGAGGACTGCTTCTGAATAGCCTCAGTAGGACACACATCTGTTGTCAGGTGCTACTGTCCTGGTGGTCAAGAGCCATTGCCCGAGCTTAGAACCCTGTGGGTCTTTCCACAGTTGAAATGGTTAACTCCTGGCTCAGAAAGGGACCCCGTTCCAGTTACTACCACCTGCACCCACTGTGTCTGGTCTGTGCCCGGGTTCCTCAGTATTTCGTGTATCCCCTGCTGCAATCCACCACATAATGTGGCCTGGGGAAGGTCAGTTTATGTGATGCTATCTTGTTAGTGGGACATACAGGCCTGGATTGTAGTGCCTACTGCCACATTGCCTCAGCATCTAACTCTAGAAACCGGGAGAGCTGGGTGACAGGGTCTCCAAGGACCCTTCTAGCTCTGATAGTCAATGATCTTGTGACTCGATTTACCAAACACGAGTCTGCAGAGGCATGTTCCCAAGGTCTTCTTCCCCCAGAAGGACAGGTGTGGGTGCAAGAAACAGAAGAACGCAGAAGACCACTGTTTGTAGCGGCTACCACACACACTGCCCAGACCTGATACACTTCTTATGCTGACAAATGGGCTGTGTGTGGGTCCTGGGTGGGGGGGTGTGGACTCGGGGAAAGTAAGGTTGCCCGATGTAGCCATGTCACTTTTTAGGCACTGACCACAGCCTTTCTAGCTGGATGGGGAAGAACTTGCTGTCACTTCTCATACTGGACCACATACTGCATGAGGTCAAGAGTCAGGCCTGGCTAGTTGATGCTGGGTTCCTGTGTTCCTAGCACAATACCCGGCACGTAGCTGCTGCTCAGTAAATAGTTCTTTTTTTTTTTTTTTTTTTTTTTGAGTTGGAGTCTCATTCTGTCACCCAGATTGAAGTGCAATGGCCGCTCCCAGCCACCGCAGCCTCAACCTGCTAGGCTCCGGCGATCCTTCCGCCTCAGCCTTCCGAGTAGCCGGAATTACAGGCATGCGCTACCACACCCAGCTGATTTTCTATTTATTGTAGAGATGAGGTCTCACTGCCCAGGCGGGTCTCGAACCCGCGGGCTCAGGCAATCCACTCACCTCAGCCTCCCAAAGGCGCGGGATTACAGGCTGAGCCACCGAGCCCAGCGTAAATAGCTCTTGAATACAAGACTGTGTTTCAGCTTGCTCATCTGGAACACAGGGACACTAACCCATGTCCCCTAGCACTGTGTGAAGCTTAAAGGAGACAGTGAATGAATGCAAAGGCCTAGCACAGCGCCATGGCACCGCGTCCGTGGGAGTTGTTCCTCCTTGCTTCCAGAACAGCCAGATTCCATGTGGAGAGAGAAATTCAGCCAGAACACTCTGACTGCAGAGAATAACACAAAAGTCCCTCACACCCAGTCCTCCCCAAGCCCCTCCCATCTCCTGAGGACCACTCACCTGCGACCAGGCTCCTGTCCGCCACTGGGCAGGGCAGGGCACGCGGAGACAGGGTCTCCGGGCCTCAGGCCGGTCCCCAGGACAGGCCTTGACCGGCATGGCCTTGCGAGTGCCATTGGAGAGGGGCAGCAGGCACTGTACCCCCCGAGTCTGCACCCCTAGCTTCCCACAGCTCCGGCTGCAGGTGCCCCACTCCTCCGTCACCCACCTGGAAACACACAGGGCAAAGGAAGGAGGTGAGGCCAAGGGACACTTCCTCCCAGGGGACACCTCCCACCCCCAGACAGCCACAGGCAGAGGCCAGAGTGGGCTTGGGCTTCGGAATGTTTGAGGCCCAAGACAGCTGCCCACCTGGCTCTGCAGCTATCTGGCTGCGTGACGGTGGGGAGATCACTCTTCTCACCTGCTCTGTCTCATTTGAAAACAGGTACGATGCACATTTGAGTTCTGGTACCCTGTGTATTCCTGGGCAGGTGATTAACCCCTCCAAGTCTCAGTTACCCTGTCTTCACACCATGATGGTTTCATAGCCCCATACAGAGCGGAGTGCCTACGGAGCGCAGGCACTGTCCTGGGTGCTGAGATGCAGTGGTGCACACTACAGATCAGAGTCACGCTTTCATCACAGACTCCCTCACGGTCCTGTGGAGCTCCTGACAAGCTCACTAGCACCATCACCACCCACAGGGCTCCAGTATGGAGCAGCTACACTGGAGGCCTGCTAGTAGCTTTTTGCCAATCTCAAGTAGATGCCCTTTGGATGAGTTAGACAAAAACACACTGCTCTGGTGGGGGTGGAGGAAGGTTTCCTGCAGCATCTTTTAGTAAGTTAGTGCTCTTTCAGGCAGGTTTCCTGAATCAACCCCTTCCTTTAAAAACAAAACCCCTAAGGCAGTATGTACAACCCAGATCTCAGGCAGGACTAACCCTGCAGGTTCTGTAATCACAGACATTTGTGGGGAAAGTGGTCTGAGTAATAGTATAAAGTAACAAGTAAAAGAGGGTGGTTATGAAGATGTCCCAGGCAGAGGTGGGGCTGGGTATCATGACCAGGGAGCAAATTCTAGCTCTGATCACCAGTTCTCACCCTGGCCCCTCATCACACATTCAGTCCTGGGGCTCCCCCAACCCAAGGGAGCAGGAGCTGGTGAGGCCCAGTCAGCACCCTTGCACCCAGCCAGGGAGGACTCCTGGGGAAACAGGAGGATGCACAAGACCCTTTGCGGTTTCCTACTGGCCAGTCACCCTTGGCCTTGGTCTGCCTGAGGGGGACTAGGGAGGCCTAATGGAGGCTGAGGAAGTCCTGGGGACTGCTCTGCAACAAGCTGAAAGGCCTGAGCTTGAGTCCTCTACAAAGCACAGCTCTCTCCTCTCCCCAAAGGTTCTTCCAAATAAACCCAAGATCATGACCTTGTGCTCAAAAGCACCTGTAACCTCAGGCCAGGGAATCCTAGTCAGGGCTACAGGGCTGGCAGGCAAGGCTATGTCTCTGGACTCCTGACGATTAGGCAGAGAAGAGGTGGTGGACAGCACTCTAGGCTGGAGCCCAGAAACATTGAAATCCACATCACCTATATCCCAACCCCAGATCACTGAAGAAAACTCTGCCCCAAAACTGGGCCTTAGTTTTCCCATCTGTAAAATAATACTGGGAAGGGCAGGACAAAGAAAGCTTCTTTTTTTCTCCAGGGAGTGGAAGTTAACCCAGAAACCCCAGAGGGGACGGAAGGGCAAGAAGGATGGGCACTGGCCATGGGCAGAGCCAAGAGCATGGGTTGCTCTCTGCTCTAGGAATCCTGAATTCATGGCTTTTATCTCCACAACCCAGTGCTGAGGGGAGCTGGCTCAGCAGCCCCTCCACCTGGGGCCAGGACTAGGCCTCACTCCAGACTCCTTGTCCCTCCCCAGGAGCACTCACGCGGGCTGGGAGCACAGGTGTTGGTTGCATCGCCGGCGGATGGGCTTGGGCCTCTTCTTGTGGTCACACAGGTGCCGCTGCACCATGTGGTGGTCACGTCGGCGCCGGCAGCCATATTTGGTGAACTGGATCCCTGGGGGGAGGGCAGGCTGCCATGGGCCTGGTCCAGCCAGGTTCAACACTGCCCTGCCTGAGGCCTCAAGGGCGGTACCTGTGGCGAGCCTTGAGGGCCAATCCCACCCCCCTCTGTCCCAGGCCTACCCACATCACTTTCTGAAGGATACCTCCCTGATCAGGCCTATCTCACTGGTAGGAAAGTGGTTTTGGATGGCTGCCTCTTCCCACAGGGGGAAAGCTCATACGGGGCAGAGGGCTGAATATACCTCTAGCACCTCTAGCCCCATTCCAGAAAGGGCCTCCACATGTTGGAGATCTTCAGGGAGAAACTGAGGCATAAACAGGAACACATCCAACGGAGGCCACATCAGCCCTCTACCCCCGCCCCTCAAGAGACCATGGGTCACCTCACTGAGGCACTGGAGGGTCAGGAGAGCCAGTACCTCCTCCACAGGTCTTGGTGCAGGGCGCCCAGCTCTTGAGTGCCCACTCGTAGGTGTCCGTCTCCTCCAGAAGCACGTTGTTGCTTCCGATAAGTGGCAGCAGGTCCTCATGGATGACATATTTGTAGGCCAGGCTGCTACGGGGGCCACCCTCAGCTGGGGGGAGCACCTGAGGGGGTAGCACCGGACTGAGAGAGAAGCAAGGCAAGCATGGGGTGGCAGGTAGAGGGGCCAAAGAGAGGCTGTGGGGTCAGAGCAGAATCAGTGAAAGTTGGGATGAGGTGGCACCAAGCTGGGAGTAGGGGGCATTCAGGCCAGCAGCTGCAGGACAACTCAGGTTAAACACTTGCTGTGTGCCAGGCCCAAGAGCAGCCAGTGCACCCATGAACACTCTTTTCTCCCATAAATCTATGTCCTAATGAGGGCAGAACCCATGTCTATCGGGCTACTGGGCTCATGAGAGCATCCACACTGCCTGGTTCTAGAAGACAGTCAATAAGCTCAGTGTGGATACTAGGCCCTCATCAGACATGTGATCTGCAAGTATTTTCTCCCACTCGGCAAGTGGTCTTTTCACCTCCTTGACAATGTCCTTTGGTGATTGCGGTCTTCGATTTTGATAAAGTCCAATTTACCTATTTTTCTTTTATTGCTTATGCTTTTGGTGTCATATCTAAGACTCCAAGGTCATAAAGATTTATCCCTCTGTTTTCTTCCAAGAGTCCTACAAATTTAGCTCTTATATTTAGGGCTTTGATCTATTTTGAGTTGACTTTTGTGTATGGTGTGAGGTAGGGATCCAACTTTATTTTCTTGTATGTGGGTACTCAGTTGCCCTAGCACTATTTCTATTCTTTCTCCATGAATGGCCTTGGCACTTTGTTGCAAATCAGCTGGCCATAGACATATGAGTGGTCAATAAATATAAAGCAAATAGAATTAATATGCTGACACCAACAGGCCACAGAGTCTGTCCTGCAGGCACTTCACAGCTGGTGGGGGTAACACCAGAACCAAAGTCCGTCCAAGGTCCACCTGCCACCAGTCAGGGATGAGGGCACCATGGACACAGCTCCTCGTGGTCTGTCTGCTGGGTTAACAATCCCTGGCCCATGGCCCATGAAGGAGGGCACGGGCAGAGATGGGCCCAGCCAGGACAGTGGCCTTGTTGTTCTCTTGTCAGGAGGTGCTGGGTCAGCTGCCTTAAAGGGCTGAGGAAGCCACTCCTGGACTCACTTGCTGGTCATACCACAATGACAACAACACTGAACGACGACGAACCGGTCCTGCCCCTGCCAACGCCTCCCTCCAGGCCCATTTCTGAGCCTGCATTAAGGAGAACAGACTCCTTGCATGGAGCATCTGGGGCTGACAGCGAGGAGACAAGTCTTTCTCTCTTCCTCATTTGCCATTCTGCTAACCTTTAAGCACAAATGAGAAGCGGATCCCAGGCTGAGAGTTCCTTGGCCTTGCCCAGGCTCCCAGAGACACCAGAATGGGCAATTCCCGCTAGGCCTATGCTGGCTGGGCGGTGAGGCAGCGAGCTAGGGGGGCAAGGGGGTAGGCAGGGGCCGCCGTGTGGAGTGGGGCTCACCAGGACAGCAATGGCTTCAGGCAGGGGCCCGCTGGTCTTGAGGCTTTCCTTGGCATCCTCCACCACATCCTCCCACTCCAGGCCCATGGCAGTGAAGGTCCGGCTTGTGGCTTCCTTGCCCTTGGGGTTGAGGATGAAGCTGCCCGTGACCTGGTTCTTCACCACTGGTCGATGGGGAGAGAGGGTCACGTAGATTTCTACTCCCCCAACGGGAGGCCCATGAATATGATATTTGAGGTTCCCCTGTATACCTGCCACCTGAGCGCTCCCCAGTCAGATCACCAACATTCCCCACCTTACCCAACCTCCCACACACTCATCCCTGCCTCTGGATCCTGGCACATACCATTCCTCCCACCCTCACTGCCTTCCACTCTTCCTGCCTAACTCATCTGTACCCATAGTGGGGACTCAGCACAATACCTACTCCTCCAGGAAGCCCTCTTGATTGCCCAGCCCTTGGGAATTCTGCCCTCCCTAAAAGTTCTACAGTACAGCATAGAGGTTAGAGTACAGGCTCTAGAGTCAGATTGATAATGGGGAAAATAACTTAGCCCTCGGCTTCACCATCTGTAAAATGGGAACGATCATTGTACCTAGTCCCTAGAGCTGCTCCCTCACTACCCGTTTCCAGGACTCTCAGGACAATGAGAGGAGTGTCACAAACTTGGCAAGCACGTGACATACGGTGGGCACTGTGCCAGGACCATCAGAGCAGCGCCTGACTTTTGGCATTGATGTTGAGTGCAGATGCCACGACTCTCTCAGCAGCCTATCAGCACATCTTCACCTGGGGTCCTTGGCCCAGCACGGGGCCTGGCACACAGTGAAAGGCTTAAAAATATCTGTCCATTTCTGTAAGGGGTAGAACCCCTTAAAGTCCCAGTCAGTGAGGAACTTGTAACTTGGTACCAAAAGACTCCATGTGGCATGTAGGTAGAAGATGTGTCGGTGTAGACACCCGGTCAAGGCCACTGAGTGGTACCCTTGGCCCCCTGGAAGCAGCAGGGGCCAGGCAAGGGCCCAGCCTGGGTCCAAGCCCCTTAGCCAAGTGCGGAGGGCAAAGGTTCCAGAGCCCTGAGGTGTCTGGGAGGAAAGGGTCCCCAGTGTCTCTACCTGGTACAAATCTAAGTGATTGTAAATTGTCATATAACAGCCAAGGAGCCAAGAACACCACACATGTGCCAGTCACTGTTTCAATTTAGTCCTCACACACATCTAAATAAGGCTGGGCTTTTATTTATTTATTTAGAGTCAGAGTCTCACTCTGTCGCCTAGGCTGGAGTGCAGTGGCACCCTCACGGCCACCACAGCCTCGACCTGCTGGGCTCAGGCGATCCTTCTGCCTCAGCCTTCCAAGTAGCTGGAACTATAGGCATGTGCTACTACACCCAGCTGATTTTTTAATATATTATAGAGATGAGGGCTCACCAAGTTGCCCAGGCTAATCTTGAACCTTCAGGCTCAGGTAATCCTCTCGCCTCAGCCTCCCAAAGAACTGGGATTATAGGCATGAGCCACTGCGTCTGGCCAAGTTGGGCTATTATTAGTGCATGTGGGGAAGTGGAGGTTCCCAGAGGAGCAGGGACGTGTCCTGGACACCAGTGGCCCGGGAATGGAGCTGGACCAGAACCTAGGTGTCCAGAGATGGGTCTCAGAGATGGGATGGAGTAGAGGGGATGGAGTGGGGAGAGGAAGGAGCAGGAAGGGGGGGAGGGCAAGAGAGCCTCGCCCCTTCCTGGGAAGCTGCTGGAGAATGCCCCACCTCCTGCCTGCCCAGGTCACCTGATCTCTCTTAGCCCCAGTCTCTAGATGTCTAGGTGAAGGCTGGGTAGTTCCTCTGTCCAGGTGGCCTCAAATTCCCTAACTTCCCTTGGTCATTTCTGCAGCTCACTGTAGCAGGGTCCTGGCTGTGCACAGCTCGTTCCAGGGGGTGATGGGTGGGCCAGCATGGACTCTACTCTCTGGGCCCAGCTTCAAATCCTGGCTCTACCACTGACCTGCCCTGTATCTTGGGTAACTCCCTAACCTCTGTGACATCAGTGTCCTCAACTGCAAAATGGGACAATGATGTCCTTCATAGCCTGTCATGAGGCTTAACTGAGACAATATATAAAAAGTGACAGCTCATGGCTCAGCACATGGTAGGTATTAATGGCATAAATTCTCTTCCCCATACTTCCTTCCAGAGAGTCCGTGTCCCCACTTCCAGGAGAGTCTAATGAGTCTGGACAGAGTCATGGCCCTCACTGCCAGGGCTTCTTCCTGTCCTGGGCTCCTCTAGAGAACACCACCACCCCCAGAGGCATGCCCATACTCACATACAAATATTCACACATCTTCACTGAGGTTCTGCCACATACCTCACACTTGTATAATCACACAACCTGTGCCATCTTCAGGCTTCAGCTCCCGGTCTGCCCCTACTTTCTCCCCCCTCCAGACTCCCTTGATACCTCTAATGCTTCAGGGTACCCACCTGAGAAACATACAAGCAAGCATGCACTCAGCCTACCCCTGGGTGTGAGCAGCCTCTGCCCTGACCTTCACAGAAGACAAGTTCTTCAATAGGGATCAGGGAACTAGAGGAGGGTGGAAGGCACTGGTCAAGGCAGCCCCAGGGACCATTAATATTCTGGAATCACCCCCAGGGGGCACTAGGAGCAGTGTCTGTGAGTTCTACCTCTTATTGGAGTAGATATCCCTTCTCTTTTTTTCCCTTCCCTCCCCAGCCCCTGTTCCAGCACAGTTCCCTATAGCCAAGGAGGCACAGTAGGCAGGAGTTGTCTGAATCTACGTCTTCTAAACTTGGGCTTGCTATGGCCCGAGGTTGGCAAGGGCAGGGGACTGGGAGACAGGAGACACGGGCTGGCACAGACCAGCTCTGTCACCACTCCTCATGGGTTAAACTGGGCACACACAGGGCCCCCCATTCACTTGAGATTTCAGTTTCCCCTTGTGTCTATGGCCTGTAGGGACAATGCACTTTCAGGAGCCTTCCAGAACAGAAGGTTAGAATCAACCACAGCTGAGCTAAGGACAGGTGCCAACACAGACGTATTCTCCAGGGGTTGCAAGTTATTATTTTGATGAAAATCTAAAAATGGGTGGCAGCATCTTTGTGCTGTTTGAGCCAAGAGATGTCATGTTTTATGTTCCCGTTTATTGTTTTTTTCTTTCTAACAGATGGATATCAATTTATATATGTAGAAAGAATGAGGGAAATATAAAATCACCATTAGGAAAACACCACGGAAATAATGACTGCTGGCAGGATCTACCGATGGATTTTCAAATCAATGGGTGAAAGTTTGAGGAGAAAAAGGATATTAACATAGTCTTAAAGTACTGCCTCCAAGATACTTATCAAAGACAAAAGGAAAAATAGTCTTTTGAAAGTCACATAAAATGACTTCACGAGGGCTGACAATTAAGTTAGCGAACTTGCTACTGTGCACTTATGCTGGCAGCGCTTTACAAACAACTAGGTACGGTTTCATAACCTTGGGATATCAGTGTCTCATTGTGTTCATGTTGACACTTGGCAATGCCTGGCTGAGTGTTCATTATTGTTGTTGCATGTTTTTGTGTGCCGTCACAAGAATTTCAGAGCTTGCATTAGAGCAATGAACAAACATTGTATTTCTTGTTAAACTTGGCAAGAGTGGAAATGAAATCAGGGACATGTTAGTCCAGGTTTATGGGGATAATGCCATGAAGAAAAACAGCAGTATACAACTGGTTTAAACATTTTTCTGAGGGGACAGAAAGCATCACTGATGAAGAGAGGTCAGAATGGCCAGGAATGAGCAGAACTGACTAAAATGTTGCAAAAATTTGTTGAATTGTGCACCAAAATCATCAGCTGACTGTGAGAATCATAGCAGACCAAATAAACATTGATAGAGAAACAGGAAAATCTTCACTGAAAATCTCGGCATGAGAAAGGTGTGTGCAAAAATGGTCCAGAAGGAGCTCTTGCTCACATCACGACAATGCACCAGCTCACACAGCACTGTCTGTGAGGGAGTTTTTAGCCAGTAAACAAATAACTGTATGGGAACACTCTCCCTGCTCACCTGATCTGGGCCCCAGTGACTTTTTTCTTTACCCGGAGATAAAGGAAATATTGGAGGGAAAACATTTTGAAGACATTCAGGATCTCAAATGTAATACAATAGCTGTGATGGCTATTCCAGAAAAAGAGTCCCAAAGTTGCTTTGATGGGTGGACTAGGAACTGGCATTGGTACATAGCTTCCCAAGGGGAGTACTTTGAAGGTGACTATAGTGATATTCACCAATGAGGTATGTAGCAGTTTGTCTAAGATGCATTTGCAAACTTAATTGTCAGACCTCGTATGTCCCATTAACAGTGAAGAAAGTAGGCAGCAATCATCAAGATTAACAACGTCGGGAGTAAGACATGTCAATATCATGTATTCCCCAATATAACATACAAAGAGGAGTACAACATCACTTCTTGGGATTCTTGCCCCAAAATGCATACTCTAAATCTAATCATGAGAAAACATCAGACAAATCAAAACTGGGACAGTCTACAAAATAACCGACCAGGATTTATCATATGTTTCCATTTATGATGGAGTTGGCACCAAGCAGGGTAACTTGGTGGGTGTAATAGGGCCAGAGGGACCACTGTGACATGTGAGGAGGACAGCGTTCTCCCTCACAGAGGGAGAACGCCCAATGTGTGAAAAGCTGCCTGCCGCCAGGTCCCTGCTCTAAGCCATGCTCATGGGGTTTTAACTGAGAACCCGATTCACATATCACACAATTTACCTGACTAAAGTGTACAATTCAGTGGGTTTATTTGTTTGGAGTTGGAGTCTCACTCTGTCGCTCAGGCTGGAGTGCAATGGTACATTCACGGCCACCCCAACATCGACCTGCTGGGCTCCGGAGATCCTTCTGCCTCAGCCTTCCAAGTAGCTGGAACTACTACAGGCTAATTTTTTTATTTATTGTTGAGATGAGGTCTCGCCAAGTTGCCTGGGCTGGTCTTGAGCCCATAGGCTCAGGCAATCCACTTGCCTCAGCCTCTCAAAGTGCTGGGATTACAGACTGAGCTACCAAGTCCAGCCTAGTGTTTTTAAAGTATATTTAACCATCACCTCTATCTGATTCCAGAATATTTTCATCATGCCAAAAAGAAACCCTGAAACCACCAGCAATCACTCCCCATTTCCCCAGCTCCTTGTCACTACGAATCTACTTTCTGTCTCTATGGATTTGTCTTTCTGGATACATTCATTTTTTTGACTGCCAATTTAGAACAGAGTAAAACAAACACTTTATACTAATATTCTTCATTTGAATTCTTTGATTTAATTTATTTTGGAATTTTCATTTTTCTTCTATCTTAGTTTCATAGCTGTATAACTGTTACATGCACAAGGGTGGACACCTCAGTTAGTGATTCTGTGTTTAACCATTATTATAATGGGAACAATGTAAGGACCCCTGTGGTAGACTGATAAAATGGCTCTAAATTCCTCCTATTTCTGCACGCATGCCCCTTTGGACTGTGACTTTACCATGTCTGTTGTCAAGAGACATCTGTTTTTCTACCCCTTAAATCTGGGCTTAGGCCAATGAGACATGAGAAAACATGATGCAAGCAGAAGCTTGCACACCATGGCTCACCCTCTCTTACTACTCCTGTGGACCATGTGACAGATACCATGTGAATAATACTGGGTTATCCTGTTGAGGACATGGCTCTGTCACCCTCATGATCCCAACTAACAGCCTGTACCAACCACCAGACATGTGCGTGAGGTCAACCTAGACAGCTCCCAACAGATCTACCAGCGACAGCATTTGCATGCATCTACCTAGGAAGACCAGTAGAAGAACCATCCAGCAGAGCCCTGACCTAACTGATAATCTATGGAACTGAGAGCTTATAAGTAATTATTGTTTGAAGCCACTACGTTTTGGGGTAGTATGATATGCTGTGTAAATGGTTTTCCTTTAAAAGTCATCTACATACATAAGAGATTATTAACAGTGGTTGCCCCTGGGGAAGAAGACTGCCCCTGGGGAACAGGGGTAGGATGGGAACTCTACCAGATCCCTTTCTAGACCTGAAATTTGAACCATCGAATGGATTACCCATTTAACATTAACTAAAGAATAAAACTAAGAGGAATGCTTTGCCCATTATTTAAGCTTGTAAAAATCCCACCTGTACTAGTTCCTTGCCCTCTGCTTTCCCAGCTCCTCCAAATTGGAGGGCAGGACATGGGGTCCCGCTGCTCCTTCCCAGCACCTCAGCACTCACCGATGCGGTGGGGAGCTTTCTCCAGTGCCTCAATCTGGATGTGCCTGGCACCTGCTGGGATCTGCACCAGTTTGAGAGATCCTGTCACAGAGGAGGATTGGGAAAAGCAGTGAGCAACCTGAGCAGGTGGTCCCATACCAAGCATCCCCCACTCTCCCCACACTGGGTGCCCAGAAACATATCATTTGATCACTGACCCTCTCTAAACCTCAGTCTCCTCATCTGTAAGCCTTCTCCACAGGGTGATGGGAGAATCAAATAAAGTGCTATGGCTTAAAGTGCCCTGTAAACTCTAAGGGCCTCTGTGTGTGAGTTGCTATTAGTTCCCACTTTCTTGACCCTCTTCTTCTCTCACTTTTGTCCTTCCTCTCTTTTTTGCTCCTCTGACTCTGTCTCCCCCTCTTTCCTCTCACACTTTACGCTGCTTGCTGCTGAAGGGATTTAGATGAAACAGGCCACGAAGATTCCACATGACTGTTGTGAGTCCCCAAGACCCTCCCAATTCCAGGCCCGGAAACAAGCCTTCCTCAGAGCCACCAACCTATCCCCAACAATGAAAGGTGAGGCAAAGTTGTGATATCCCCAAAGGAGAAATGGATCTCCTTTGGGGATCTATACTAAAGTGTAAAGGACTAATATCTGGTCCTTTTCCACAGCAAGTTTGGTCTGATTGAAGGTAAGAAGGAGAGTTAAGGAACCTAAAGATACCAGGGGTTCAAAGCAGGAGGTGGAGGCACCACCAGTTTAAAATAAAAAGGTGAGAGAGGAAAAAATTATCCATGCAGCCTTGGTCATACCTTCAGACCTGACTGACCCTTTCCTCTCACCAATAGGCCCAAGGCCAAGGAGAGGGCCAAGTTCCCATCACAACATATCACCTAGCAGGAAAATGGGCCCCAAACTTGGGCAGCAGCACACCCAGATGATGAGGTGACAAGTTGCAACTTCTGACGCACCAGTCTGAGCAGCCCAGAAAGAACTGGAGACAGGCCCCAGGGCCCATTCAAGGAGAGAGGGCCCATCTAGGGGGCAGCCAGAACCCTGGTCACCCCTCATCATCCCCCAGGCCCCAGTCCAGCTTACCTGCCTGCTTGGAGGCTTTGCCCAGCGTCCCCTTCACAGTCCTGCAGTGGGAGTTGTCACCCCCGCAGACTCCGCACTTGTCATCTGCCTTCATGGACCCCACCTCCTTGTCACAGCCAACAGGCTGAGGCCAGAGGCAAGGTCAGCAGGAGAAGGGTTAGGTTCCCTCCCACCAACAGCCCTTGGCTCCCATCCCCAGGCTCCACCAGGAGAGAAACACTGCCCTAAGAGAAATCCCTGGATAGGGCTCTGGCACAAATTCACCATGTGACCTGGGTGGGGTCTTACATGTGGCATGTCAAGGATTCTTAGTCTCCTTGAGCAGGGCTGGGCAGTAAGTAACCCCTTTCTTGCACCCCAGGGCTATGCTGAGGACCAAAGGATGTTATGAGTGGGTGGGTGAGGTGATGCTCTTCTTCCCAGAGAGCAGGAGGGACTGCAGCAGAGCCCTCCAGTCTTCCTGTGCTGGTGGAGGGAGGGGGGAACCCACCACACACTCGCCGCGGGCGCAGACGCTGTACGGGTCCCGGTAGCTGCAACGTGTCCCATCGTGAACCACCTGGTTCATGAACACCACGTCCCCCGTGTCTGCCGACTGACAGATCAGCTCACACTTCTGGGCATCTATGAGGAAAGAGACCACACTGAGTCCCCAGCTGGGTGCAGAGAAAGCAGGCTGGCCCGGGACAGATCGGCAGATGGTCCAGCCAGGATGCTCCAGGGCCAACTCTGGGCAGCAGAAAGTGAGGAGGAGAGGGGTACTGGGTGTGGTACTGGGGTTTAAAATCCCTGCTTTCACTTGGTCACTGATTAGCCACGTGACCTTGGGCAAATGATCTGACCTCTCCCAGCCTCAGTTCCCTATTTTTATTATCCCTGATCGGTACCATGCTACAGCAGGTTATTGGAAAAAAAATCAAGTGATAAAATATTAATAGCAATGGTAATATGCCAACACTTAATAAACACTTACTATGTACTAGATACTTCCAAAGGCTTTACATACCCTTAAAAATACAACTGTAAGTGCTTTCTATAAAGTAATTCATTTAACCCTCTCAACACCCCAGCGAAGTAGGTTCTAGTATTACAGAGGAGAAACTAAGAACCAGAGAGGTTAAGGAGCTTGCTCAAGACCACACAGTCACACAGTACGTGGTTCAGTTGGGATTCTAACCCGAGCTGTCTGACCTGAGTCCTGCTCTGACCTCTGTGACACTTCATGTCTTAACATGTATATAAACATTAGGAGGCCGTGAATGAAAGTAAGGCAGAACGGTGGTCTGTATCTGGCTTTGCAAAACGGAGCAGCAGGCAGGGAGAGAAGAGGGTCCTTTCTGCTTCTAACAATTAAATGTTTTCTTCTCTATCTGGGCTACAGATGTCCTAAAAAGGAGGCAGGGAACATATAAACCCATACTGTGCTTTCTTAGAAAAAGGGAGGTTGGGGCTTAGCTAACTTCCTGGAATTTGTCAAAAGTCCTGGTAAGAGCCCAAAGTCCAGCTGTCCCACCAGCCTCCCAGTCCCTCCCCTCCCCTCCTCTCTCCTTCCCTCTACACGCTGTGCTTCCTTGTTTGGTTTCTGAATGGATCTGGAGGCTTTCAAGGCAAGCTTCTCTTGGCCAATTTCTAAGAAACCAGTCTGGCTCCTGGGCCCTGAGCTCCCAGGACACATGGTGACTCTTGGCTTCCAGCACTCAGGCCTCAAATCTGGAGCCACAGCCTCCAAGAGCACCTTGGATTTCACGCACCGGAACCTGGTAGGAGCTGGACCTGGGGGGCTCCAACCCTACAGAAGACAGGCAGGATCCTGACCCAGGCAGGCAGGTCTCTGGTAGCAGTGGAAGTCAGCCAACAGTGGGAGGGAGTGGTGAGTTCCCCAGAATGGGAGGAATCCAAGCAGAGAGAAGACACCCCCTGTAGGGATGCTCCAGAGGAGTCTGGCCATGACAGGCCTCTGAGGTCCCTTCCAACTTGAATATTCTGTTATTCTAAACATGAGTGGCAGAGTTTAAAAGGTCCTGGGGTCAACCCCAGGCTCGGAGGAGAAAAGCCCATTCTCATGGGAGCTCTCTGGATCAAGGGCTGCACAGTAGGGAGCATCTGTCCATGGGGGACCCATGGGGAGGCTGGCAAGGGACAGGTGGGATCAGAGAACTGTTGAGGGCCTTTCTAGTGTGAGGCTCTAAGGTACTACAAACCCCAGCCCTTCATCGGATGCTCTGTCACGTCGGGGGTCCTCACTGGAAATGTGCAAAAACAGAGAGGAACTGGCACCAGCGTGCTCCCCAAATTCAAACCTTCTCTGTGAGTCCTGTGGCTATCCCAGGGTAGCCTGGAGGGATTGGTACAAGGATCCCACAGGCTGCCATCTGCCTCCCTATCAAAATCATTTGTGACTCTGCTGAAACCGCAACCCAATCAGTAAAACCTAGAAGCATGGCATGTGACAGGACTGAGCTCCTCAGGATGTTGGTTATGTAAACAGAAGGGCCCCCACTCCAGTACAATTCTTTTTGTGCGGGTGAGGGCAGATGTCTGAAAGGCAGGCAGCCCTAACAGCCAACACTGCAGCACTCCTGGGTGAAGTGTCCCTTCCTCAAGACCCCTTCCTTGCATCTGCCAGAAAACTGGCATCCAAAGTATACAGATCAGGGATGGCCTTGATGGAGACAGTGGTCCCAGAGGTACACCATGCACAGGCCTACACAAGAGTATGTGGCAAGCCTGCTGCCTGCACTGTCCCTTCTGGCAATTCCCACTGTCCACCACCTTCACTCGTGAGTGTAGGGGCGGGAGGCCCTGCCTGGGCAGACAACGACCCCAAGAAGGTGCCCAAGGACAGGGGAGTGGGAGGGGGAACAGGGAGTACTCACCGTCCTCAGGTTCGTAGGGCACCCAGCTGTGCTTGGCATTCTGGTGGGTGTAGTAGGAGTTGCGCTTGGCACACTGCTGGGCTCGGAAGTCCTCGTAGGGCCCAGGGCAGTCCTCGCTGTTGCAGACCTGGTACTCGAACATGGGCCCTGAGCACGGACGGCCTCCGTAGGCTGGGCTGGGGTAGCACAGACAGACAGGGCAATGTTGATGGCTGGGATAGCTGGGAAGGGTCGGGCTCCCCACACGGCTACCAGGGGCAACTCAGCCTTTCACAACAGCCTTACAAGGGGCCCCACTAGCTGATAAACCAGAGGCTGACTCCAGACTTATAGATGGCTCAGCCTTCCGGTTCCTCTTTCACCCTGACTGCTCTGCCCTTTGGGGTCTACCACTATCCACTGTGTGTGTGTGTGTGTGTGTGTGAGAGTGTGTGTGTGTGTGAGAGAGAGAGAGAGAGAGAGAGACAGGGACTCATTAACCTCTCCAATGGGGCAGGAAGAGAAATCTGTCTTACTCATCTTTGTATATCCTTCCATTACATAGGGCCTGGCTTATAGTAGACCCCACACAAATGATTTGATTACTCCTAGTCTTGTCTGCTTCCATTTAATATCATAATCAACTGAAGAGTGGTCAGAGAAATGAATTTGGAATCAGAAGAGCTGGCTTCCAAGCCCTGAGCATGCAACTTTGGCCAAGTCATAAGGCCTTGTGTGCCTTAATTTCCCCTTGAGAAGAAGGATCATAATCCCTTTCCTGGTATGCCTGTGAAGGATAATAAGAAAAGGTATTTTGAAGCAACTTCTCTTCTCCATTCAGTCAAGAGCATTAGGTAAGACTATTATTGATGGCAAGTGTCCAGGTGCATGAAGTTAATAGTACCCTACCCTCAGAGATGCTGGAAGATTCCACAGGTTTTTGGGCCTACATACTCAGCATCATGCCCAGAACAGAGAAAGTACTTGATCGTTATAATAATAATAATAATTGTAACAGCAGCTGTCATCTATTAAGGGCTTAATCTGTGCTGGGCATGGTGCTAAAGACACATATTATTTCATTTAAGCTTCATAAAATAAAAATAGCGATTATGACAGAGGAACCTAATAAACAGTAGCTCTGATCAACTGTTGGTTACTCCTGCAAGGGATTTGCTCATTGGGTCTCATTGTAACCACAGCCTTGTACTCCCAGCAGATGGAAGTTACAAGGCAGTCTCTCGGCTCACATTTGTAAAGAGCCAACAGAGAGTGAGCTGCTTCAACAGAGAGTGAGCTTCCTATCTCTGGAGATAAATAGCAGAGCATACAAGATTCCTCCTGAGAATGCCAGAGTCACTGCTATCCTCCAACTCTGACTCTACAATATCCATCGCACCACTTAGAGCCAGGAGGGGTCGGGCCAAGCCCTGTCCATATGGAGGTCCAGAACCCCTGTGTTCCTAGGGCCAGCTGACCCACACAGCCAGCTTTGGCCACGCCCATCTCTCATGATGTTGTCCTAGGCAGGCTGCTTTGACTTGGGAGACAGAGGCCATGGAGAGCCGGGTTGCAGGAGCCTCAAAACCATGGAGTAGAGGAGAAGATCCCCACAGAGGAGATGAGAAGGGTAAAAGGGAAGTCCCCCCACAGCACAGACATCTGCAGAGAGGGGCTTTGATATTAGAAAAAAGTAAGTTAAGAAGAATGAAAAGAAGATTTGCTCCATGTGGTAAAAAGCAAACTTGGGGAATGTGTTCTCCCAAGACACGCTCAATCAATGTTTTCTCAAAGTTTAGCCACAGAATCAGGGTCATGGAAGAGGTCATTAAACAAGCAGAATCTCGGACCCACCCAGACTCTGGGAAATCTGCACACAAGAGTTTGAGGATCACTAGTTCAGACACAAGCACAGAAGTCGGATCTGATGGGTCATTAGTGGATGCAGGCGGGGGTAATCCACCCCCCACCCCTAACAACTTTGGATCCTTACGCTTTAGCACACACAACCACCCACAGCAGGCCTTCTGTCTTGCATCCTCTCTCCCCAGTGCCTTCCCCTCCAAGCCCCTTGGCCCTAGGAAAGGGGCCCTGCCCTGCCCACCTCGTCCAAGGGCACTTACGGAGGGTTGTCGCAGTTCCGGCTGCGGGAACGCACCCCGCCCCCACATGACCTCGAACACGACCCAAACTTGGTCCAGGAGCTCCAGCCTCCGTCCTGGCCGTACATCTGCTCCGGTGACTTCCAGATGCAGTGACCTTTGAAGCACCACTGGGGTGGAGCAGAGGGCGTGAGGTCACCCTGGGCAGCTGCCAAGGGTGCCCAACCAGGCACATGGCCCTGGGGAAGCCCAGAGAAAGGGATGGCAAGAACAGGAGCCCGGGGTTAGACAGAAGGCCATACCCACCATGCGCTGAGCCACCTTAGACAAAGGGCTCACCTTTCTGAGCCCATTCCTCAACTGGACAGTGCGGACAACTGCAGCTGCCCCTAGCATACAGTGAGCTGTGCCCAGCACACACTGCCCCCCAGAAATGTAGCTAGTATTACAATGATAATAAATGGACAATTACTTGGTTCATCACCTGGGAGAAATAAAGGGCTGAGAGGAGAGAGAGGACACAACCTTCCCACACTAGCTAGAGTTGATCTTGGCTCTCTGTACCTCAAAACCAACTTCCAGGGGCCACACGCAGATGTGTCCCAGGGAGGCAAGCCAGCCATGTGGGAGGTCCATGCATGCATGAAGTCAGAGAGGTCTGGGTTTGAATCCCAGCTAGGTCATTACTAACTGTGTGTGGCTCCTTTGACTTCCTGAACCTCAGTTTACTCACCTATTAGGTGAAACCGCTCTAAGAACTGAAGGGCAATTACACCTCCAAAGGCCTTAGCACAAGGCCAGGCACTCAGAGGAGGGCTCAGCTAAAGCAACTCCCTTCCCTTGTCCCGTAGGGTAACATGAAAGAAATACAGCAAAGCTCCCGGGCTCCTTCCCAAGAGACAGACTCAGTGGTATTCAACCTCAGAATCACCCAGGGGAGACTTTACAACTCCAGATGCCTAGGCCTCACCCCAGACCAACTCAGTCAGAATCTCTAGAGGTGGGGTATTTTTGAAGAAGCTATAATGAGGTATAGCTTACATACCACAGAACTCGCTCATTTCAAGTGTACAATGCAATGGTACGTCATAAATTCACAAGTTGTGCAATCACCAGCACCACAAGAACATTTCCATCTCCCCAAAAAGATCTTCTATGCTCGTCTGTCATCACTCCTTGTTCTAGGGGAGTGGATTTTTAAAGCTCCCCAGATGACTCCAATACGCAGCCAAAATGAGAACCGCTGATCAACTATTAGGAGATGCCATGACTGGGGAGGGCCTGGAACTTTGAAAACACCTGGGAGGACTTAAGAAGTAGGACCTGGAGCAGGTATAGTCAGTCATTAGACAAGAGCCTGCCAGGGCTGGAGCCCATGGGGCCTGCACAGAGCCACGGGAAGTCCTGTCTGCCTGTGAAGGGACAAGCCCAGGAGATGCTCAGCAGGACAGTGTGAGTGGGGCATGCCTGGCCAGGGCAGAGGGTAGGTCCCCAAGGCTCCCAGATGCTGAGTAACCACCTCTCGTCTCTTAACACCTGGCTCCTTCCCAGCTCTCTCTTGTTTTGACAAGATTCAGTAACTTCAGAACAATCCTGAGGGACAGGAAGAGTGCTCATCTGGGGATCAGCAGGGCTACAGAAGTTCAATGAATGACCCAAGGTCACCACACAGTGATCAAGGGCAGGGTCAGCAAGAGAGCAGAGGTGGGTTTCAGACCCAGCCACAAGGTCCCCCTGACAATGAAGCCCTGGTACCCACACATGCATGAGGAAGCAAACGCATCTCAGGAAATACATGAAGAGCAGGTGGAGTTGGGGGGAGAACATGTGTGAGGAAGAAACAGAGACAGCATGGGGGCGGGGGTGTAGGCAGGACACCTCGAGTCCTCCCCACATAGCCTCGCTAATCACTCCCTTTGTGGCCCCCACACTTCCTAAACCTGGACTCACACCTGCCCCTTAGCACTGCCCCTCCACATTAATATACAAACATGGAAGGAGGGGGATAGAATCCCCTGGGACCTACAGCCCAGGAAGGCCACTCCCACTGTAGACCCTACAAGCCTACAAGTACCTTGCCCGGTGCACATTCGGTCCCATCCAGCGGGGGCCCCTTCTTGGTCTTGCAGAAGTATGGGTTATCGGGGTGGCTGCACCACAGCTGCTTGCAGGGCTCGAAGGTCCTGAACTGTGTGGCAAGGGGTTGGGGTCACTGGCTGGACCAGCTCTCCAGCTCTGACAAGCTATCTGAGGGGCAAAGGGCAGTGACAGAGAGAGGAGGGGCATGGTGGGTGCTGGGGCTCAGGGCACAGGGAGGAAGGCATCTGGAATCCTTTATCTCATTCAAGCTCAGCTCCCCTGAGCACCAGTGGCTCTAGGGTGCTGAGAAGGGGCCCAGCCATGGTCCACACTCCTTGTATCCTCTCTCCAAGGCCCTTGCAGAAGACACTTTGTCATCGAGCTGGGACTAGGATTTGAGGCTCTGGGAAGATCTGGCCGACGGTGCCTCCTGAGCCCTGTGCACGTGGGGACATTGAGGGGACTGCTGCTCTCAGCCCTCTCTAACTTGGACACTCAGCCATGTCAGAGGTTGGTGACCTTATGTTTCAGATAGTCCAGGAAAGCCCCAACTTCCTTCATGTTCTCTCTTATCGCCCCCCACCAGCCAGACAAGCTTCCTAGTATAGCATTTGGGTAATGAAGTCTGATGTCCTATTCTGCCACAAAGCAAGTGCTTTGTCAGACCACGTGTCCCAGTGCGGCCTAGACAATGGGGAGGGTGACCACATGCTGGGGCTCCTGGGTCTGTGGAGATGAGAAGGGGGCTGCATTCCCCAGATGAAGGTTTCACGCAACACTCAGGTCACCAAGGCCTGTCCCCGTCAGAAAGCCCCCTAGCCTGAGATATTCCTTCTCTGACAGCTCAGGTGAGGCTCTGGTGGTAGTTGTTGGGGTCTCTCCTGGGTGACTCTAGCTGATCTCCAGGTTCAGCGGTTTCCCTGTCCTGCAGGGTAAGGACAGGGTTATGCACACTTGCATTCCTGTCCTCAGGCATGGTGGCAGGGGGGCATGGAACTGACCTCTGGAGAAAGGTGATATGCAGGTGCAGGGGGTGGAAATTAGACCAAAACACTCTACCAAACTCCTTGAGGGTATGGGAACTATTATTTGGCCAGGTCAGAGCCCAGTCGGGATCCCATCCACTGCCTGCCCTCTCTGTTTTACTGTTCATATCTTTCCCAGGGCTAAGGCATCCTCAAGCCACTGCACACACCTGCCCCACAGGGGTCCACTCTGCATCCCCCCATGGCGGCTGACTCCACACCTACGAACCTGTCGCCAGAACCCCTGGTTGGCTGGATGGAAGGTGCCCTGTGAATGACCAGCCTGGGCCACAGAAGCACACGGCCCTGGTGTCCCTGGTCTGGCAGAGGCGGGGTGAGGACTCACCGCTAAGCAGGTCTGGTATCCACTGCCGAAGTCAAAGCGGCACTGCTCGTCCATGGAATAGTCAACCCCGGGCAGCTCGGGGGGCTGAGGCCAGGAGGGCTCAAAGGGGTCATCGAGGAGGCAGTCATAGGAGCTGCCAGGGGAGATGGGGAAAGTGAGGCAGGCAGATGGCATGAAGTCCTATGCTCTCCCATCTTGGGGGCTGGGGCTTTCTTGAGCAAGGAAGGCCTGCAGGACTCTGCACCCACTATTCTGTGCTGGGAGTCATCTCCAGGGAGGACAGGCCGCCCGGAGCACCTCCCTTGCTCAAAACCTCCTGCCACCAGTGACTGTGTCTGGGAGGGCTTCATTTGCAGCAGGGACAAGGGCATCCAGGACTGGAGTCAGGAGCTCAACTTGTAGCAGGCTTGGGAGGTCAGTTTTGCCCACCTTAGAGGGGCATGCTATGGCCAAGATTAAGGTTTGATTCATGGACAATTTGAGGGCTCACTCTGCACCGAAAGAAGAAGAAAATTCGCCCACCACAAAGGATAACACTGGGCAGGCTTTCAGGTCAGCTCCTGCATGGGGTTAGTGACTGTATCTCTGCCTCTGCCTGCCCCACCCAAATTCACTTTGGCTCCCATTCTCAGACCCAGAGCTCCTCCTCCAATACTGCTTCTGTACCTCAATATCCCCGAAGACACAGGAGCCAAACAGCTAAGCTGGAATTGGTTGTGTGCCACTGGGGGACCAGGGATGGGAGGTGGGGGGAGGAAGGAACACCCGCCTTGGTACATCTATTTCTCTGGAGCCTTGAGGAGACAGTGGGACCCCAGCCCAGGGGCTTCTCATCTCATTACCTGCAGTGCTTGACAAATCCAGCACTAAACCCAGCCCCAGTAGAATCTAACTTACCATCTTGGATAGGACCAGGGAATTTTCTTTTTTTTTTTTTCTTTTTTTTTTGAGTTGGAGTCTCACTCTGTCACCCAGACTGGAGTGCAGAGGCCGCTCCCGCAGCCTCGACCTGCTGGGCTCTGGCGATCCTTCCACCTCAGCCTTCCCAGTAGCCGGAATTACAGGTGCGTGCTACCACGACTGGCTGATTTTTTGATTTATTGTAGAGATGAGGTCTCACCAAGTTGCCCAGGCAGATCTCGAACCTGCGGGCTCAGGCAATCCACTCACCTCAGCCTCCCAAAAGCACGGGATTACAGGCTGAGCCACCAAGCCTGGCTGGGAATTTGCATTTTTAATAAGAGTTCTATGCAAATGGTCACCTAAGCATACTTGTGATGCTCATGGGGGTGTTTGAGGCCAGGCAGTGGGAGGAGGCTAGAAGAGTCAAGCCAGGCAGGGTTTGGGGTGGTGGCTTTGGGGAAACAGCCAGCTGTGTGGCTTCTGTTCAGACTGGCAGGCTGCATGCCCCACAGCCCCAGGGGTGGAGGTGACCTACGGGAGGTAGCGGCTGAGCTCCAGCTTGCTGCAGCGGGACCAGTGGAAGCGGTGGAAGGCAGCCTGCACCAGGGGTGCCATTACGCTGCCCAGGCTGGTCTCATCCGCGCAGCCATTCCCCTGACCGTCGTGCTCCATGCCGAGCCTGGAACAGGGAAGGTAGAAGAGCCCTGAGTCACCCCAGAAAGCTGCCTGTGGGAAGGCAGAGAGGTAAGCCAGCGGTGGGAGACCCTGCCCTAACCAGGAGTTCGGGCTGTCCCTCCTGGTCTCAGTTTCCCTACCATGCAGTAGGAGGACCAACCCTCTCTCCAAGGCTGCCCCCAGTGGGATTGGGCTCCTGCCTTCCAAACCTTTGCTCCCACTGTTGTCTACTCACAGATGCCTGCCCTCTCCTCAAGCCCCACCCACAATCTCAGTTTCCAAGGCCAGCTTGAGCCCCATTTGGATGCTGACCCAGCTGCCTCCCCAATGGGCTGACCTCCACAGCAGGGGCCACCTGTCCCACCATGAACAACTCCAGTCATTCACTGTCTTCCCATCAGCCAAAGGCCTCTGAGTGCCAAGACCATGTCTCATTTGGTTCAATTCAACCTTGTTTATTGAGCCCCTCTGGGTGCCTGCCTCTCAAGCTTCTCCAAGACCCCGGAGGACAGGGCACAGAGCTTTGCACATGTTACCATGATAACAGCTTGCATTTGAAAGTTGGTTCTTTACAGTTGGTCTTTAATGCCAAAACCCAACAATTCTAAGTCCTTAAACACTCTCAGGTCTTGACTACCAAGCAGACACATGGTCTCTAAGCTTGATTCTGTCTCTCCATAGGGAAGGTCTTCATTGGGTTTCTCTGGAGTCAGCCTCCATGTTGAGGGTATGGAGAGGAGACCCAATCTGTGCAAGGAGCAGAGCTGGGATGAAATTTGACAAGGCTGATGGCTCATTTGTTTGCGTCACTATTTTTATTTATTCATTTTTTTGAGTCAGAGTCTCACTCTGTCATCCAGGTTGAAGTATAGTGGTACGATCATGGCTACCACAGCCTCGACCTTCTAGGCTCAGGAGATCCTTCTACCTCAGCCTCCCAAGTAGCTAGGACTACAGGCATTTGCTACTATGCTCAGCTAATTTTTAAAATTTTTTTTGAAGATACAAGATCTTGCTCTGTTGCCCGGGCTGGTCTCAAACTCTTGGGCTCAAGCGATTCTCCTGTCTCGGCCTCCCAAAGTGCTGGGATTACAGGCATTTGTGTAACTTCTTGAGGACTTCTCTGTCTTGGTCTCCACTATAGCCTCATTCCTAGAACAGGACCCGGAGCATGGTAGTACTCAAGCAATACTGGATGAATGAATGAATGAACATGCTCTAAACAAGATCCAAGCCTGTCTTCTGCCTGGTCCACCAACTGAGCTCTAAGTGTGCCTGTTTCTGATGGGCTCAGACCAGCACTCCAGTGAGCACTGAGTGCCAGCATGGTTGGAACAGGTCTCAGAAGGGCCTCAAGGTATGGATGGGGTGGAGAGAAGCCAGGGATCAAGACCACCCAGAGAGATCAGGGCCTCGCTTGTGACACCATCACTGACCTGCCCAAAGGCAGGGTTACATCTGGTCCCCCAGGGTCCTAGGATTTGAAGACTTGGTCCAAGGCAGGCCCAAATGGTTGTCCAGGCCCCTTGGCCACCTCTCCCTTGGGGCAGAGTCTCCCTCCAAAGGCAGCTCCAGGAGGCACTGTGCCTCAGTGGCAGGTCAGCTACTCTGGTACCTCTCAGTATGCTGGGACTGCTGGGGCCTGATCCGAGGCTAAGCCTTGGTGCACATGGTATGGCTGCCAGTCCCACCCACCCTGCCAGTGCCACTTACACGTGGCCAGTCTCGTGGGCCACCACAAAGGCTGAGGAAAAGCCATCCTCGTGGTTGAGGGCACAGCTTCTGAGGGGATGGCACATGCCAGTGATGGGTGCATACCCTGCCAGAGGAAGAGAAGGCAGAAAGCGAGGTCACAGTTAGGCAAGGAAGGTCACACTGAAGTCTGTGCTTAGCCTGGTCACCCGGTTAGTGCCAGAGGTCCCTGGACGAAGAAGGGTGCTTGCAAAGGCTCACCAGCAAGAGCAAACCTGAGCCATGCTGTCCCCACATCCTAGGGTTTGCTGGCTTTCCTCTTGGCCTGCAGTTTCCTAGGGTCTGTAAGTTTTCCTCTACACCATGGGGGATTTCCCAAATTCTGTAAGATTTCCTCTATACCAGGCCAGGGGACTTCCAGGCAGGACCCAAGCCTGTGCACATGCCCTACTTCTACACTGCCTCCCTCCAGTCCCATAGTCAGTCAACAAACAAGCTCCAAATGTTTTCTATGCAGGAGTTGGGGGTGGCCCTGTTAGAAACTACAGGGAAAACAGAGAGGACTCAGGTCTGAGCCTGCCGCCATGCTGTACTCCCCTCCCCCACACACACACCTGTGGAACTATGGTTTAGCAAGGAGATTAAGTGACTAGATTAGGTGGGGACCAGGAGAGCTAAAACTCCGAGAGCACATGGGGGCTCAGGAGTGAGCTGGAAGAAGGGGAAAGGAAAGGTCTCAACTGGAGGGGTCAAGGAAGACCAGAAGTGGTTGAGAGGGCAGCAGAGAACAGTTGATAAAGGTGGGGAGGACACACGGGGACCGTGGCATGGAACAGCAACTCCACAGTCAGCACTGATTAGGCACCATTGTGTGTCCTAAGGGGCCTCCCCAGTGGAGGGTGACAGCATGCCTGTAGCTCCCCAGTAGAGCTCTCTCTCCATCTTACATGAGATGGCTTTGAGAGTATAGCAAGAGGCTGTGGTAGGAAGGAGGTTTCTGGGACTTCTATCAGCCTGGAGACCTGAGATTTGCTCTCCATGTGATGTATGTCCATGCATATGTGTTAGCGCCTGTGCCTGCGTGTGTCTATACATGTGTGCAGTGTCTCTGTGTGCACATGTGTGTGTCTGTACATGTGCATACTGGCTTGTATCTATCTACATGTTTGCATGTGTCTGTGTGTACATGTGTCTGTCCATGTGTGTATGTGGTTATACAGGCGAGTGTGTGTGTAACCACATTTGGGGCTTCAATGATTCAGACAATAACCCTTTGGGTAGGCAGGGCTAGCTGACTTATTTCCAGCATTGAAGCAGAAAAAAAATAGAAAGCCCTCAACGCGGAGCTTGGAGATCCAGTCTGCGTCTCAGATCTGTGTCCTCTCTTCTAATCAACATGGGTGAGCCTCTTCACCACTCTGGACCTCAGTTTCTCCAGATGGGTATCAAGGCTGCCTAGGCTTGCAGAGTCCTTACAGTTGTCAATACACTGTCACAGACATTTCTCACACCCCTTGGCCCTTTTAGCAGCCTTGGAATGGGGGACAGCATATACTATGCTGTGCACATGCCCTACTTCCACACTGGTTGAGGGGGCAGCAGAGAGAGCAAATCCCAGGCCTCCAGGCTGATAGAGGCCCCAGAAACCTCCTTCCCACCACATCCTCTTGTTATACTCCCAAAGCTATCTCATGAAAGGAGAAAGAGCTCTGCTGGAGGACTACAGGCACTCTGTCATCCTCCACTGGGGAGGCCCCTTAGGACACACAGTGGTGCCTAATCAGTGCTGGCTGTGGAGCTGCTGTTCCATGCCATGTTCCCCGTGTGTCTGTGGAGCTCAAGATAGAGCATGGATTTCCTTCTCTGCAGCCCACACAAGCCCTGCCCTAACTATCCCACAGTCTGTGATGAGGACAGAAGGATGTGGCGTGGGCAGAAGCATCCTGAAGCCCACTGAGGGTCTTCAAGCAACCAGGTGCTGGGATGTTAAGCACAGGACCCAGAGCCTGACCACTCACAGCCCCCTGTAGGCTCCACCAAAATAATGGGAGGCTCTTTACTTCTTCTGGTCCCCAATAAGCAATTCCAAAGCTCACCCATCTGTCCATCCAGGTCCTGTCCCTTCATCTCTGGGGGGTCCCCAGAGAAAGCCCATCTGTCTCCTGGCCCAGCCGTGAGCCTCTGTCTCTGTCCTACAGGCTGACACACCTGGCCACGGCAAATACAGTACCTTGCATACCTGAGGGCCCAAAGTCCTGCCGGGTGAGGAAGACAACGTGGTCATGGTGCTCAGCGTGGCCGGGGTCCTGGCGCTGCTGGGAAAGAGCCCAGCGACACACCTGCTCCAGGCTGCGCGAGGGGTTCCCACGCTCGATCAGGTTCAGGGACTGCAGAGGCCGGAAGACCACCAAGAACCAAGCAGAGGGTCAGGGCATGGGACACAGCAGGCGTCTCTCTCCCACTTATAGATGGGAACACTGAGGCCCAGGGGACGGCAATACCCATCCCATGGTCACCAGCTATCCCCACTTGGCTGCTGCCAGCACACCATCCTCTCTGTTTCAGAGGATGTTCACGTGCCAAGCTCTGGGCCAAGATGTATTTCTGCTGGGAGCCTGACACCCACGATTTCCAGTCCCTTCAACTAACAGGCAAGGCAGATGCTGTTCTGAGTGTTTCCTCTACACCTTCATTATCTTACTTAATCTTTACAATAGATCTTTGAGGAAAGTTCAGGTGTTGAACCCACTTGGGAGAGAATAAGTGACAAACTGGTCTAAGATTGCAGAGAGCCCAGGACACAGGGACTCATGCACGACAGGATTTGTCTCGGTCATTGTTCCACTCTAAGCCTCAGTTTCCCCATGGATTTCTCAAGGAGAGGGGCCTTCTACTCGTAAGGGTGCAGGATCATCAGTTATCAGGTTGCGGGAACCCATAAATCCCTGCTCAGTTCCTGCATGCCTGGTCCACTGAGCCTCGGTTCTAAAGGTCTCGGCATTCTGATTTGGTAGACAAAGTTTGTCTGTCCATCCCATACCACAGTTGGTCCAACCCTCTGGCCCCATGGCCATCTCCCGCCAAACGCTGCTGCTGACAAGGGGTTTACCTGTCGGTAGCCGACCATAATCAATCGGACCAGGGCAATGTTGATATGGGCTCCCAGGGACTCATCATGGTAAATCTCATCTACCTGCAAGAGAAGAGTGCAGTTTAAGGGTGGGCAGATGGTCAGCCTGGGCCCACTGAGTGCCAGCTACTTACTGGGCAGGATGCCCAACATGTAGTCTCCTGTCTCAGCCCCACCATGGCCTTAACAGGCAGGATTCTTATCCCTACTTTACAGAAAAAGAACCTGAGGCTGAGAGGGGCAAAATGACTTGCTCAAGGACATGCAGTTAACAAGCTACAAAGCTGGCATTCAAATCCTAGACCACTTATTCCCAACCCTGAGCTCTTTCCACAAAGCCAGTCTGCAGGGGGCCTGGTCTCAAACTCAGCCACTCTGACCAAGACTCTTGTCTTTCCACATCGCTGAAGAGCCTTCTTCAGACATGACACCCGCCTGAGGGAACCCTAGGCCACTTGTCCTAACATTCCTGTGTCCCTTCCAGTTGCCACCAGAATAACGTCTGCCCTCTAGTGCCCAGGCCCTGGGAGGCAGTAGTGGGCACTTCTTCAGGGCAAATCCAGGGGGACAGTGCTCAGGGACCTTGGAGAGGAAGCAGCAACCACACCACTGGGAAGTTGGTGAGAAATGCAGGGTTTTGGGCCCCACCCCAGGACTCCTGAATCCAGATCTGCATTTGAACAAGACCCCCAGGTGACATGTAGGCATGGTCAAGGTTGAGAAGCACTGCTCTAGATAATTCCTTCCTCTCACAGGCCCAGGGGCCCATGCAGCAGTGCCTTGAGCAGTTCATTGAAGAATACAGTCCTCTGCAACGCTCTGCCAGAAAGTCCCTGAACATTGCCCACAAGACACACACTCAGCCTCTGCTTATTCCTCCCAAGGACAGGAAGCTCACCTTTCCTGAAGATGCACATGTCCTGAGTGATCCCACTGGATACTCCAGTGTTTTCATCGTAAATAGCTTTCTCTCTGAATATAAAACATTTCACTGTCAAAAAAAATTTGAAAACTACAAAAAGAACAAAAATTTTTTTTGAGTTGCCCAGGCTGGAGTGAAGTGGCATACTCACAGCCACTGCAGCCTCAACCTATTGGGCTCAGGTGATCCTTCCACCTCAGCCTTCCAAGTAGCTGGAACTACAGATGTGTGCCATCACACCTGACTAATTTTTGGGGAATTATTGTAGAGACGAAGTCTCATCAAGTTGTCCAGGCTGGTCTTGAACCCCTGGGCTCAGGCAATCCTCTTGCCTTGACCTCCCAAAGGGCTGGCATGAGCCACCGTACCCACTCAAAAAGAAGAAATTCAAATCACCTACACTATTAACCAGATAGGTATATAATAATTGCAGGTAACATACTTCCCACCACATGTGTGTACATGTGTGTCTTTTACAAAATACTGAATATGCTGGTGGTGTTTTGTTTGTCTTGTGGAACATTGTTTTCTGTGCATTTAAAAGCTTAATCTCTGACTAGGTGTGGTGGCTCACGCCTATAATTCCAGCACTTTGGGAGGCTGAGGCAGGAGGATTGCTTGAGTCCAGGAGTTTAAAATCAGCCTAGTCAACATAGTGAGACTGCATCTCCACAAAAAATCAAATATTAGCTGGGCATGGTGGTGCGTGTCTGTAGTCCCAGGTACTCAGAAGACCGAGGCAGAAGGATCACCTGACCTCAGAAGGTCATAGCTGTGGCAAATCGTGATTATTCCACTGCACTCCGGCCTGGGCAACAGAATAAGACCCTGACAAGAAAGAAAGGAAGGAAAGAAAGAAAGAAAAAAAAAGCCTAACCTCTAACATCTGCATATGAGAGACCATCAATCATCAATTATGTAACCCATCTCCTAGTTGGACCTCAAGAGACTCAGAGAAAAGTGTCTTACTTAAAACCAGAAATGACTTGCTTGGTTAGCTAGTGTCAGTACACAGCAATACAGCTACTGGGTGTCTAGGGTTCAAACCTCAGCTCTGCTCCTCACCAGCTGGGAGGCTGGGGCACAGCAGATAACCCCTTAAAACTGTTTCTTTTTCTGAAGAATGGGATAATAATGGCTATCGTAGGTCTGGAGTGTATAACCATGTGGGAACCACGAGTGAGCTACGCAAACCTACGCAAAGGCCCAGAGACAAGGTCGGTGGCACAGGTAGAAGTGGAACCAGCCTATAGCTCCTACCTGCAATGGCTTCCCGAAAGCTGGGATGGAGTCCTTGCTCTCACCACTTCCAACTCTCTATGCCCTTCAGACACCAATTATTTTCCATTCATAAACAAAGTAACCAACCTCCAACCCACAAAGGAACTGTTGTCCACCACACGGAGAGAAGAAACAGCACTTCTAACCACATTCGTGTGACAGTCCCACAGGGAGGGGTGAGCTAGACCATGGGCACAGAACCGTGGCAGCAGAAGTTACGTGCACTGCGGAGCCCCAGGCGTATCCCACCTTCCCCAGTGCCTAGGACTGGCAGCTGCCCCAACTCATAACAGGCAGACTTCAGAGCAGCCAGCATGAGGCTTCTGCCCTGGGCCTTCCAGAAACCCATGTCTCAATACAACTGAGCTGCAAAACCCAAGACCAGCACCTGCTATAGGACAACACCCACAACAAGGAATAACAACAGTCCTGCGGGGCGGCAGGGCTCCCTTCCTGCCTCTTCCCCGCCCCAGTGGAAGCAAAGTACTCCAATGTGTAGAGACGATGTCTTTCTCAACCTGCAGGCCCAGACATGTCCTAGGAGGGACTGTGGGGTAGAGGCGTCTCACACACACACATGCTCCCTAGTAGAATTCCACCTCAAGGAGTCTTTGCTGACCACTGAGATGATCATCGATCTGCAACAGAGTGATCCTCCAACTACTTGACTTCCCAGCCCCTCCAATACCAGAACATGTCCTTCTTTCTCCACCGGGGTGTAATCAGATTGTGGACCCCCTGATGTGCCCTGTAAACAGACCAAGGATGGAATTACAGGCAACGCACATTCTGCTCAGTCATATCTGTGCCCCACGCATACACATGTAAACCTGCTGGTCATTCCGGGCACAGGAGAAGAGAAGAGTCACTGGCACATTTGAGTGGAAGCATCTGCTGGGCCTGGGCATTTGGAAGTGCCCCAGGGCCACTGCTTTTCTCCACATGTCTCTCTTACAGGGTGAACCATGCAGATTGCTGATAGACCCCTGCCATATTACTCATTTCTGTCCCTTATTCAGCAGGCCAAACCCACTTACCAAGGCCTCTGATAACCATTACTCTGATAGCTGCCATTTACATCCAGGACATCAGGAAGTCCTCATGGCAGGATCAGGAAGGGGGCTGTTGCCTCTCTGAGCAGGAGGTAGAATCAGAGCCCAACTGTCCAACATGGGTAGGAGGTGGGGGAGGGTCTCCCGATGGCACCTCCCTCGCCCAAGTGATTGGCCTAGATGCAAATGCTAAGCAAGCAGAAAGGGTCCACCCATCTGTGAGACCACTCAGTGCTTGGCTGGGTGCAGTGGCTCACACATGTAATCCTAGCACTTTGGGAGGCCGAGTCAAGAAAATCGCTTGAGCGCAGGAGTTCGAGACCACTCAGCACTCAGAAGCAACCAGAGACCCAGGACTTTAGGTAACTGGTGTACCACTAAGGCCTGCAGCACAGACCCCATGTGCCACATTCCAGGATCTGGGGAAAAGGGAGATGCGTGCACACGGCAGGAAGGCTCAGGAAGTCTTACCAGAGGACCTGGGATGACCCCTGGACTGAGAAGGTTGTGGCCCTTAAGAGAAAATGAACAGAGGCTTGCAGCAGGGAAGAGGAGAGGGCCATGGGGAGCCACCAAGATAACCCCAGGGTTGTTGGCAACCAAGATAACTGAGGCCAACTGCTTTGGTCTGAGTGTTTGTGTCCCCACAAAATTACTGTGTTGAAACCTAACCCCCAAGGTGATGGTATTAGGAAACGAGGCCTTTGAGAGGTAATTAAGTCGTAAGGGCAGAGCCCTCCTGAACGGGATTAGACTCCTTATAAAAAAGACCCCAGAGAAACCCTTCCCTCCTACCATGTGAGAACACAGCAAGGTGCCATCTATAAACTAGACATGGTCCTTAAAAAATGATTTTGTTGGTACAGAATTCTAGGTTGATGATTTCTTTATCTCATTGCTTTGATGGTGCTAGTCCAATATCTTCCATTGTTACTGTTGACCCACTGGTCTTTCCGCGGTGAGTGATCTGTATTCTCCCTCTCTGCCTGTAAGATATTTTTCTTTGACCGAGGAGTATTTAGAGAGTTCCTAAGAGACCATCTTTCCCTGGGAAGGGAAGAGACATGTTTAGTGAAACCTCTAGGGGTAGCATGAAAGCCAGTGGAGGCAGTGGATAGGGAAGGGAAGATGGAAAATGACTCCCAAAAGAAAGCCTAGGGTATAAGAAACAATGAAGAGTTTTGAGGCTATGGTAGGAGTTCAGCAATGATAAATGGTTTGGTCTTTTCTTATACTAAGTATGAATTTTTTAAATATTATAATAGTCTGCTTAATTTTACTCTCTATTTAAAAAGGGAAAAATGGAGTTACTCTTCCATTCTGAGTCCCCTGGTCCAGTCCCCTGAGGACTGGAAACTCATCTGCACACACCCCTGGCCTCCCAAGCCCTTGAATCTCCTCCACAGCTGTGATTTGGCTGGAGCTGCCTAGAGGCTTTGGTCCTGCCAAGGAGGTGGCTGGACAAGGCTGCCATGGCCAGTGGAACTGCAGAGGCCGCCAGGCACATGGCACCATGGCTGGGACCCCAACTCCTCAGGAACATACACAGGTGACTTCCTGACAGGGTCAAGCCTGGCTGCGCACCTAGGGCCTGGCTCTGTGCACCTTAGCCCTAATGCCAGAGGTAAGGCCAGGGAGCCAGCTCAGTGATCAGGAATCATTTCCTTTGGTTGGGCCTAAGGCAGCTGCAAGGCACACCCACAGGGCAGGGCAGAACAGAACAGTGTGTCCAGCTTTCCTGCTTCTCACCTCTGAGCCAAACTCAAGGTCATTTCTGCCAGGACCCCCTGCCAGGTTAGGGTTTGGCA